GAGTTGCTTGTGATGTTACAGGGATGTGGAGATTGCTAGAACAGCCCTATTAAATGTAGTTGCTTATTTATTTTTTATACCAAATGGGCTTTCAAAAGCTTTGCACAGTGTTATAAAATAAAAAGTCACTCACCTATTTCCTACTCTTCTTCTCTTAAAGTATGGAAATACATTTCAAAGTCACAGGGCAGAGTTCAGCAGTGAATACAAATCACTTATTTCCACAAATATCATGGGAACTGGGATTTGACTAATACTTTTCAGATTATCTTTTAAGGCTGGTATTATTTCATCAGCTATTTGTTTTTCTTCTACATGTTAAGAATATTCTGAATATTTTAACATTTTTATTCAGTGAGAAAGAAAGCTACTTGCAAGTCCTGATTAGGAAGTTGCTTATTTTGTTGCCCCAGCCAGGATCTGGGTACAGAATCTTCAGTTCTAAGGTCTACAACTGTATTAAATAACTTGCAGGTTCATGTCATACTGGGGGTTTGTGGTTGCTAATCTGTAGGGAAGAACTGTACAGCTGAAAGACCTAGCTTGTTCTTAAATATTTCTATTTATTTGCTTTTCTTTTTCCTGTTTTTTTTTCCAACACAGAAGAAATTATGAGATACAGGATTAATCAGGATCAGAAAAAGAATCATGGCAGTTTCCCAGGTGCCATATGGAGGTTAGCAATCAAACTAAAATATGCATTATAAAAACAATGGTATAGGACTTATATGCAGCCTGTTCTTCATATCAATGTTACAGAACAGAAATAAGTTTGCAATTACTTTATAATATTTGGCTCAGATCAATTGCACACTTGTGTGATCTACAGTGATTCATGTGAACACCTTCACAGATGCAAAATGGTGCCTTCTGAGCAATTCACAAAACAACTGGAACACACATCAAATCCTGTCAATGTTTGGGGAGGAAGTGCAGTGAATCATAAATTAACTTTTGAAAGAACAAAGCCATTTAGATGTGAGCAGTCATTCAGAAAACTAAACATTCCTATGTTGCTTTGCTGGAATAATGAAGGATTATTAAAAAATCCAAAATATTTGAATAGAGTTAATGTATTACACAGTGATACTTAAATGCACTTGAAAACAGCCCAAGAGTGTAGAGTTTGTGTGTGTGGTGTTAAGTTCCCAGAGTGCAGCAGGAGCTGCTGGGTGCAGCAGCAGCATCGGGGTCATGATGAGACACAGAGAACATCACTCACCAGGGACCAACTGCCCCATCGGGGTCATAATGGGACATAGAGAACATCACTCACAGGGACCCACTCCCCCCTGGCTAAAAGGGACCTTTAATGAGCTCTAAAACCCAGCTGGTTTAGCCCTATGTGGCTGAGAGGATACTGCTCCAGTCCAGATCCCAGGGCAGAGGGACTGGAGGCGGGGAGTGAATAGACTGGAAAATATTGTGCAGTTCCCCACAGTGGTCATTGATTCTTTGTGTCCTGCATTCTTGCATTGAAACACCAGAAGTTTCAAAACTGGATGGCAGAATGAAGGGATAAAAGGAGGACAGAAAATCTGTGTTCTTTTCTCGTCATCAGACTAACCCCTTCAGTGCTGAAGTTTTTTATTTGTCAGAAGAGAAAAAGTCCCAGAGCAGGAAACACCAAGTAGTGAGGACATTGTATCTGCCCGTGACATGGCACTTTAGAAGCCTCTTGGCTTAGTATTTGTTTGCTTTGTTTGATGGAAAAGAAACAATAAACCAGTTACATTCTTGTGAAAAGTGTGATATCCTGAGAAATGGTCTAGTGCATGGTACATATTAGCTGTGCAAACATAATACACTGCATAAACAGGAAAACTCATATGTGAGTTTGAAAAGCAGCACTCATAATAATCCTTGGCAGTAAATCACAATTTATATTAATTTCCCTGTTTGCCCATTTCAAGCAAGTTCTGTAAGTATCTTTACTCTTATATTGCTCACACATAAAATAAGGAGACTTTGTAAGGCACACTTCCTTTATACGGGTACTCTGTGCCTAAATTTAGGGTATTTATAACAATATATTTTTCTAGAAAACAGTAGAGTATCCCAGCTATTGTGCTGGGACACAATTCTGCTTCCTTCCATTTTTTAAGTCTTGTCAGTTATTTTACTGCAATAGCTTTTGAACTTTCATCTCTCTTCAGCCAAAAACCTTGTTTCTCCCACTCCTTCTCCTGGGCTGCATTATAAAGATAATTTTTTCACCCCAGAAAAGTCTGGCTGAATCCTCACTTTTGTATTTATTTCTTCATGTTTTAGGAGTGGACCCCCTGAAAGTACCCAGGAGTTAGAAGCAAATGTGTAACTGTCTATGACAATCTTTTCAAAATCAAATGACTGTTTACTCCTAGAGATGAAAGCAGATTTGACCTAAAAATTACATTTTAATATTAATTGTATTAAAATTATTTCTGCACCATGACAGAATCTGGAGGATAAATGAGGTTTAAGATGTGAAAACTGAGAGTCATTCAAACTCTCTAAATTGGAGCGAGATGGATTTGAAGAGTGGACTGGTGGATAAGGAAGTGGTTGGATGGTCACACCCAGAGAACAGTGATCAGTGGCTCAGAGTCCCAATGACATCAGTGGTGTTCCTCAGGGTCAGTTTTGGGGCCAGTGTTATTTGACATCTTCATTAATGTTATAGACAAAGCCTTGGAGTGTACCCTCAGCAACAGGAGGTTAGAGCCTTCCAGTGGGTTTGCTACTGCTGTTCTCATGGATGTTGAAGTCTTTATGTGGAGTAACATCTCCAAGAAGTGGGACTCAAACGTTCCTCCCATATATGCAAAGTAGAAGAGTTGGGATTTAAACTCATTTTCAAAAATCCAAGGGAAATACTAACACAGAAAAACTATTATCCATACTAATGGGCTTCTCTCTGTTCAGAAATTCCACCTTGGACAAATAGTTTAAATTTTATTAAACTATATCTTTAAAAACTGGCAACAGTAAGGTTCCCCAATGAGTTCTATTCAAGTATTGGTCTGTTTTTATGCCTCCACTCCTTTCAGCGGGCTCAATGCCAGTTTTCTCTCTTCCAATATAGCTGTGGCATTTCTTGTCCTCTGTTCCCAGTGTTTTCTAACATTTTCATTGCCCTTTTGAGCTTTTGGCCCTAAGCCTTCACAAACAAACTGTGCAATGCACCTGGAATCTAGGAAGAAAGTGCTGCATAATTATTAAGTTAAATATTGTCTCCTGACCCTTATAAAGAAATTTTTCATCTACGGCTTTTCCTGGTTATTTCCCAACCACCTGCCATTAAGTTAAACAGATATGGTTGAATACTGCATATGCAAACAACCTGTAGCAAGTATTCGTAAATTATTACAGGAAAACTCCCTGCCTTCCAAAGAGAAGCAGATCTTAATTCAATTCTCTTGGAAACTCAGCCCCTGCTGGTGTGTGCCTCTCTCCATGACCATTTGTTGTCAGGGCCTCAACAGACTTTCAAAGAGCAGAAGTATTTTATCTCCCATTGATTCAAGGCATTGAAGTTTCTAGATAATTCTGTCAAACAACTGTCAGACACATTAATGTAATTTCTTTTGTTTAAAACCTGATGGTCTCAGCATCAGTTCTCAGCTGACATATATGGAATCATTAACTTTTATTATAGGTCAAGATTCATTAAGGAAGCTGAGACATGGCCTGAACTATTGCAAACTGTGTCTCATTTTTCCATTCCCTCAACTTCTCTGTGACTGTAGTGCTACCTCTTTCGTTTTCTGCTCATTGTCAGTTGTCTCTTAATATAACATAAAGTTTAAAAGATCTGGTATACAGCATAGAAACCCACCAAAAAATTGAGCCACAAAAATTCATATTCATATTCTTAATATTCATTGGATCTGAAGACAGCAGCAATGTAAATTAAAAAAAAAAAAAAGCCCACTGCATATTTATAGGGAACTTCAATTCCATTTTCACAGAATAAATGGTATTTTATGCTCCACACCATTTAGACCTCAATCTCTCTTCTGGCAAGCCAAGCTGTTATTTTTTTGTGGATTGTTCCTAAGTCATTTATAATCAGGCCACAGCACCACTGACAACAGCACCTTTGAAGTCAGGTAGGGATTATTAATTTGCTGTGAATTTTCTGAGGAGTTTCATCTTCTTTCCATACACATCCATTAAAAGTCATAGAGGTGAAAATTAAGGTACCAGCCACAAACAAAACTAAGCTATCAAACTCTCTGGTTTCAGATTAATTCTGGACAGTGTAAAAAGCCAACCAGTCTTTACTTTTTAATGTGGAACATGACATTTTAGGGTTCCTAAAATGCATTTTCTAGGGGGTGAGGTCTAAGAGCACTCAAAATCTCAGAACTCTGGGCAATGAAACCCACAGCTCCGTGCAGCCACCCTTGAGGGGCATACAAGGGGAAAATCATTACTTGTGGCATCATTTTTGGTTCTCCATCAAAGACCAAAATCACCAGTGTGAGTGTGTGTCAGTCTGTCTGTGTTTTCTGTAAAAGACTGTGTTTATCTATACAGGTTGGATACTGTGAGGAATTTCGCCACAGAAATGGTGATTAAATATTGGAACACGCTGCCCAGGGAGATGGCGAAGTCACCATCCCTGGAGGTGTTAAAGACTGGACGTGGCCACAGTCTGGTTGACACGGTCGTGTTCAGTCACAGCTTGGACTCGATGATCTCTGAGGTCTTTTCCGACCCAATTGATTCTGTAATTCCGGGATACAAACTTTAAGACTGGAAACACCTAGGCGGAGAGGCTCGGTGAGGCCGCACCCGCGGTCCTGATCCCCGGGGAGTGCTGAGCCCAGGGCTGCTACCGCGGGGAGCTCTGGACCGGGGGGCGACTGACAGGATGGCCGATGGCCACCCTGCGAGGCCCCTGATCCGGGCCAGCTCCGGACAGGGACAGCGGGGCAATGAGCAGCGGGGCACGGGCGGGCGCGCCGGGTCGCCCCCAGTCTCTCCCCGCCTCACAGCCGCCCTCGGGCTGCCGGGCGCATGCGCGGAGGCACCGCCTGCTCCGCCGAGCGCGCAGCGGGCGTTGGGGCAGCGCGGGGCGGCAGCGCTGGCCCTGCTCCGCTCCCGGGCGGCGGTGAGTGCGGGCTGGGGCAGAGAGTGCGGGCAGCGCGGGTGAGGAGCGGGCTGGGGCGGAGAGCGCGGGGTGCGGGCGGGGGCCGCCGGCGGGAAGGGGCTGCCCGGCGCGGGGACGGCGGGAGCGGTGCCCGCAGGGAGCGCCCGGGGCGGGGGTCCCGCACGGGCACCCCTGAGGGGAGTGAGGGCGGAACGCGCCCCGCTGCCCTCGCCGCCCTGCGGCGGCCGGCAGGCTCCCGGTAAAGTCCTCTCCAAGCGTTTGTGCCATTCCCAGTTAAGCCGCGTGAGAAAATGTGTGGCGTGTATTGAACAAAGGAAGAATCCTGCGGGATTAATCTTTTGGAAGAGCTTAGCGACTCTCTCTCCAAAACAGGCAGCTGATACGTTTTTCTCCCGAAGTTTTAAAAAACACCATCCCCCTGTACAAACCCGCAGCCGTGCGGGGCTCTCGTGTTCCTGTCAGAACTTTTTCCGCGGTCGGCGGGCTCTCCCAGCGGCCCCGTCCGTGCCGGAGCTGCGGTGGCCGGGCCAGGCGGAGCGGCTCGGGCCGTGCCTGCTGGGCTGGGAAGGTGTGCTTGGGAAGGAGCCCGACCCTCCCGGGCTCGGGGGGACTTTTCCCAGGCCTGGTGCTGGCAAGGGAACAATTCATCCACATCCACAGGAAACAGGAGGGGCAGAGGGAGGCTCACTGCTACCGCAGTTGAAGCTGGGATTCAGCGTTGCATTGGTTGAGGAGTGAGAGAGCTGGCGGTGATTGGGATTGTTGGGAACAAAACAGAGAGGAATGGAGCCAGTGAGTAAAAGGAAGAAGACTATAAGCACAGGAAGACACTTGAAAGAATTTAAAGTTCTCATAGAAAAGTTTGTGAAGGGAAGAAGGACAGTTTTGCAGATTTTTGTGTTCTAGATTAACATCAAGACCTTCAATTTATTGTTACTATTGACTGTCACTGAAAAAAACCCTAGTTTGTACTTTTTCTGCTCATTACCCCCTCCTTTACCATCTTCTCCCCTTGCTGGCACCATTGTTGATGCAGCAGGGGCGGAGAGTGGCATGGAGTATTACCTGCAGACTCAAACTGACCTTTTAAACAGTTTTTCTGATTATCCTAGTTAGCAATCATGTCTGTTTCCCTGCACTGCCATAGGGATGCTTACACTGGCTCAAGGAAATGTGGTTGGGAGGAAAAGAGTTTTTTAGTTGTACATAAATGGTTAGGTATGTGTGTAGAAGTCTTATTTTTTAATGTACACGTGTGTGTTACGCACACAGACACACACACCTGTGCGAGGGGATTGTGCAACTGGGAGGTTGAACATTCTGGCCCTTGTGTTGAACAGAGGGCGTGCCAGCGATAAAGCCCTGTGGAGGAGGGTTACAAGTGCAAGAGGTGATGAGCAGTCTGAGGAGACTTACCTAGTAAAGGTGACTGAGTTTGCAAGAGTAGCTCTTGCTGAACTAGGGCAGTGAGATTAGAATCCAGAGAAGACAGGACAGGGAACTTGTCTGTCAGAGTACTGCATGGAAACAGGAGTGAGATTTTTACTTATCTCTTCAGTTTCAGCCATCTCACTTCAACCTCTTAAAATAGAAAACTTTATTTTCTGAAACAGATGAAGCTGGAACCTGGCATCCTGAGTAACTCTGTATTCTTGGAACTAGCAAATATCAGGAAATCCATGGATGAAACTTGGATTATCCAAGTTCATCCAAAAATTTGTGTCCTACTAGTGTACTCAAAAGAGCAAAGCATTGCATCTGGTTGTAATGCATGCAAGTGTTGAGATTATAACTTGATTTTCAGGTTTTTTTGAGAGAAGTGAATAGTTAGACACAGAGTAACTGTACTCATAGTGTCATTTCCAGAAACACAAATGGAGAACTGAAGCTTTGAAGTTAGGCTTTAATCCAGTCTTTTAATACATCTAGAATGAGCTACAGTTTTCTATTAATTAATAACATTGTTTCTTGCATAAAAAAATCCTGTTGTAATCAGGGCATTAAAGAGATTAAGTATTTTGGTCTCATCCTCCTTACTTTGGTTGTGTGATGTCAAGACATTTTCTTGATGTGACTCAAATCTGCATCAAATTCTGCTTTGACCATGGAATTACAAATTTCCTTGTATCTTCTGTTGTGCTTATCACCTTAGATCTCAGTACTCAACTAATTCCTCCCTTAATTGAGAAAACTCTCCTAAAACAAGGAAATCGTCCTCCCATTCCACATGAAGAGTGAAAGATAAAACTGTGGAGACCAAATCTGGTCCAGGTAGGATCTGATATTTTTTCAGGGTATTGAGTTCAGTTGTCCTCATTTATGTTAAGTTGCACAGGTGCAAATAAATTGAATGTTTGTTCTAAACCTGTTCTACTTTTGGAAATCAAGCAGTCAGATTTTGAGGGATGTGTCCCTAAAATAAAATATATCTAGTTGGTGTCCACATTGGAACAGCATTTTTAGGTAATTTATCTGGAGTCATGAATAAATTCTGTGGCAAAATCAGGATAAAATATACTTCAGGACTGTGCTAATTTTAGACTACAGCAGTGTGAACCATTTTTGTTGCTCTGCCATTTTAAACAGCTCCCTTTTCCTGTGATCCTCTTGGCCATCATTTTGTGCTGCCTGCCTCTGTGACCTCCCTCACCTGTGACAGTGAAATGTCCATATTCCACTGGTGAGGCAGATCACAGGACCAATCAGGCTGAAAACAAAGACTTCTCTGACTTGTTTTTGGCTCTTACCTGACTTATAGAAACAGCTGGACAAGCAAGGGACAAGAGATGTGGTTGGTAGCACATGTAAGAGTACTGGGGAAAAACTAACCCGTTTTGCCCCTCTGCCTCCCTCTTCCATTATTCCAGTAAATCTTATACGTGCCATTTCTTCCCATTTACTCAACAAATTACACAAGATTCCTGTAGGCAAGAATTTTTTTTTTGAACCATCCTGTCAAGAGCTTTTGCTTTCAGTTTGTCAGCTCAACCCTGAATTTTGTTGCTGGTTTTCATCTGGCTCTTTCAGGAATTTCCATCAGCTGTGTTTCCAGGATGCTCTCTGGTCTGGCTGATGTTTCTTTAATGGTTGTTTTGCTTCAGCCTCCACAGACAATCTACTTTCTTGCCCCCACCATTGCTTCCTCTTCTCTCCTCTTCCACATTATAAACAAAAGCATTTGCAGTGTGCAGTGGAGAACCCTACAGAGCTGGCAAAGGAGTGGCCTGAATGACCTAATGGCTCCTCTGTTCTCCTGCCAGCTGAGTTCAGATGTTGGGAACTATTTGACTTCTTAAAATCTAATCTGGCCATACCCAGACCTTTCCTTGTTTACCTTTGCTTGTCTTACTGATTCTTGTTAAGTAAAATTTGATACACATTTGTGTGGTTTAAAATAGACTTAACCCATTCTTTTCTTGCTGCCACTTTTGATGGCACTGATTATCAAATAATCGGTGTTTTAATCAAGGTTGCTGAATACTATGAGTAGAATAGCTACATTTCAAAAGCAAAGCCTGTCTCCATACTGACAGTTAAAGAAATTCCATGCTAACCACCTAAAATCACACTATGGAGTTTGGCTTGCTAAGAAAACATATCTGTTGAGAGCTCTTTTGTGCCTATTTCAGGCTATTGCTTATTTTTAATAATACATAATCACTATGTAAAATAACTTCAACTTTGAATAAAAGTTAGGCATCTGTTCAGAGCTACATTTTTAAAATCAGACAAGAAATACATTTGCACAGCCCAGGTAGCATCCAGGGCTGAGACATGCACCACACTGTAGTAGCACAAGAAGTGTTGCCCATTTTCAAACCAGGAATGCTGCTTTGTGCAAATAGATTACTTTTTTTGACCACAGATATCTTTGCATGAGCGAGAGACAGACTATCCTGCAGTTGCATCTTGAAAGATCTTTGAGATCCCTTGCATTTTACACATTTCTTACCCGCTCAGTGGAGTGTCTCAGTTAAAGTGTTTGGATCAGCCTTCCCACATTGATGAAATTACTTTTGAAAGCTGGCACCTCAGATTTGAAGATCACACACTCAACATACTTTCATTTTTTTTATCTTAGTGGTCAGTCTGTACCAATATGATTACTCCAAGAGTGGTAGAAGTGATGCTAAAATCCAGAGGTACCATGTGAAGTGTAGGATGGGAGTAATTTGTCATACATAAAACTTAATCCCAGTGAAGTATTCATTTTGTCACCTGAAACTGCAGAAAATCTGTATTTGCCAGAACTTCAGGGTGGGTGAAATTTTTTTGTTTGTTTGTTTACACCAACAATTGTGGTGATTCTGGATATTCCTGTTTTGCTGAGCTCTTTGTTTTCCTGTAGTATAACAATGGATGGACCAGTTTCAAGATTTACTTTACAGCAATTCTTCATTAAAATCCCTATCACTAAATTAACCATTTAACATAACTGTCTAAACTGTAATACTTATTATCATCAGCTGTATTTGTAAATGTTTCCTACTTGGCATTGAAGAATGACTGGGAAGGTGTGAATTTGTTAGCTCACTGGTGTGAAGGCAGTTTATGGAATCCTAGCAGGAAAATTCATAAATAGTGGCTTCAACAGACCTGTGAACTTCTGCACCTGGCTGTTTCTCTGGGTTTATCAGTGAGCTGTTTGCTGACCTTGTGTGTATTCTTCAGCTTTTATTTGCAGACTGTAACTCTTCAAATTATTTACTAAATAAACCTGGGAGGAGAAACAACTTTCTGTTTGTCTTTCTGTCCCTAGTCTCCATTCTCATGGCTATGGAGAATTGGGAAGGGTTAAATGAGGTTTCAGGGTCAGTATTAGTTAAATCTCCTGCTGGTTTTCCTATAGATTTCTCCCGTGGCAGCTGAGGCGAGCACAGTCTGTGACATTTTATTTCAATACTGCTGAGCACTTCTGAGTATCAGGAATGGAATGGACTCGCTGTTGTGTTTGCTGTTTGCTGCTGTTGGTTGTCAGAGCTGTGGGCAGCAGTGAAATGAAGGCATGGCCTATTGAGCGTGCGGCTGCGTAAGCAGCTTAACTCATCTAAGCTTCTCCCTCTGCCTGAAAAAAAAAAGGAGTTCTTCCTTTTGCACTCCATCCTTGCTGGGTTTTGCATTTTGACTGCTTCCCTGGTGTTCTGCAGTCAGCTGCAGCAGGGACCTGATCTGCTTTATTTTAAAACAAGCGAGAAGGTGAGAAGGTGAACAAACTTGTCTTTTATGGAAAGGCCACTTAGGGTGAACTGTAAAGTGCCTAACCACAAGCTCATCAGAGCTGCAGTTCTCAAAAATAGAAGTATCAAAGTACTTTCACTGTGGCTGTTTGTTAGGAGCTCTTGGAAAAAATATTTGATCAATGTTTTCATCTCAGTGTAAGAAATAAATTTTTTACAGTGAGATCAATCATTTGCTGGAACAACATCCCAAAGAACATGTGGGGATCCCCATAGCTAGAGAGTTGGTTTTGCAATTGGGTGCTAGATAACCTCATCAGGGCTGCCTTCTACACAAAAGGTTGGACCAGACAGTCTTTTGACAGTGCTTAGCTGCTGTATGGTTCTGTGAAACTGTTTGTATGGGTAAAGCAATTTACACCAGAAATACACAGGGTAGAGATGCACTTGCTGATGGCCAGCACATGTCGGGTCTCTGCAGTGACTGCTGCAGTATATTATATATGTGAATGAGTTACCAGACCTAAAAAACATCAGTGGTATTTTTTGCATTAGAAGACTCCACATTTTCTGTGTCCTGGAGTAGGTGTTCAGCTTTGTGGGGGAGTAGGGGAACACCTTTTTAAATCTTCCAAGAACAAAATGTTAGACATGTTAGATTCTGTAGAGGATCTGTCAGTTATGAATGAAGTTTTCCAGAGCTAACTTTATTTTATTCTGTGTATGCTTTTGACACAACTAAGATAAATTACATCTTGAAACACAGTTAATTGCACGCACAGATTTGACATATCAGTTTGGCATGTGAGTTTTAGGAACTTCAATATCAACATCCTCTTGAGTTGTTTTTGTTAACATGCATTTTTGTTCTTCCTACTCAGGCAGAATGAGTGTTGTACTGACTCCATAAGGAGTAGAAGAGCAACAATAGAATTACTGTTTTAGTTTTGGGAGCTGCTCTTGTGTTTTTACAGTGCTGGAAAGTGCAAAAAATTGTTTATAAGTATGACCTGATATTGGCAGGTATGGATTTATGCTGTGTGATTGATCAGCTGTGACTTAGCTCCTCACTGTGATCCTTATTTCCTCATAAATGACAGTTTGAATTAGATATTCGTTCACCTTCCAGTGTTTTCTCCAGTTGTGATGTTCAGAATGCCTCCATCCTCTAGATCAGTGTGCTTCCTCTAGGGAAGCTGCCATGAATTTAAGGTTTTCTACTGCTCCATGGTAGTTGATTGGAAGGGACCGTGAGTAAAATTGCTGGACTAGAGGTCACAAGGGATGCAAAACTAGCTCCCTGGGAGGTTGACTTTGGTGGCAGAAACATTGGAAAGTTCACATTTCCTTTCTGTGGCTGTCCTGGGGAGCAGAGGGGCAGAGAGGAGAGGGAGGTCAGGTCAGTGGGAGAGGGACTGAAGTGCAGAGCACAGAGCTGCATCAGGGGGCTGATGCCCACTGAAGGGTGGGTGGCAGTGGCAGGAAAGGAGGAGAAATTCCTTGACTCCTCTTCAAGGCTGAAGTCAAAACATGTTTTGCTATACCCTAAATACATAAATAAGCTTTGTGGGTAGGTTTGTTCAGATCCTACTCAGAAAAAAAAAATTAAGTGCAATGCAGTAAAATAATGTGTGCATCTTCATGTGTTTTGAAATTCAGGTAAAGTTAGGTGAGAAAGAATGGCCGTGGGTCTTGAGGGAGGGAAATAGAGTATTTAGTATTTAAAAAATACCTTTTGTTTCCCCTGGTTTGTAGGGCTCTTTATGCTTCTGTTTTACTGCAGCTGCTCTGTGAATTCTGGTGGTGTACAACTTTCTGTATGCTCTCTTTATGCAATTCCCCAGTGTGACAGAAAACTTAATAAAAATCTCTAAAGGAGTTGTGCCTCATTATCTTTTGCCTAGTTACCATATAATTCAATAAGATGGAATATGTGTTTATGACTCTTTCATAACTTCTCTCCAATTTGATTTTTGGTTGACTGGAAAATCCCATTAAAACATGTTCTGAAGTGTTGTCATATATGCATTGCTTCAGGGGAGGACAGGCAGGGTGGAAATTTATATTAGAGCATGCTGACAGTGTGTAAATGCT